AACTAATTTTCAGATCAAAGATACATGCGATGCGAACCGATTAAGGGCCGGCCGGGGAAAGGCTTATTTACCCTAGCGCCGGATGTCCGTTTCAAAATACCTAGGATCTGAAATAAACCTTAGAAATTCGATCAGAAAAAAAAACCTCTGGGACCCATGGTAAGGCGGATTGGCTTCGTGTAAAATACATCTTGTAGTGTGCATGTGCTTGATTCTTCTTATAAGCATGGTCCTCCAAGAATTATCACAACAATACACTGACAAAAACGCAAATTCCAAATTCCATCCATATGCTGGATAAAGAAAATTTGGGAAATCGCCCTCTACTGTACAATTTGTTCATGTCATGATCGTCTCAAGGCGGTTTAATCCTAGAACATGGCGAAATCTTCTTAGATGACTAGATTTACTTTTCTTTGATACTTAAGATATTTTTTCTCAATTTAAGAACTCTTAATGGACCTCTTAAAATTAACGAGTGACACACGCGTTGATCTTATGACCTCATTTTCAGTTTATTAGGCTTTTTGTTTAGGAAAAGGAAACTTCAGCTCACCTCTATATTTTAAAAGTGCCAAACTGTGATCGAACTAGTCACTGGTCGTAAATCTTTTTAGCGTTGAGAAGATAAATTGTTTGTTTCAAATTTTCCACAAAAGTATTGTATACTTTTATACTAAGTGCACGGCGTAAGTGGTCACCGAACTTAGTAACATTACGTAGGGTATAGAGCGGTTTTCACTTGACTGTCGAAAGGGATTGGTTTTGGTTTTGGTTTTGGTTTCTCTACTACGCCCTTTGGTTGGCTAGTGTATTTACTTTGGTTTTGGTTTTACGACAGTCAAGTGAAAACCGCTCTTTTCTTGAGAGTGCTTGAGCAAACGTTATTCTGCTTATTGTTGTATCATTAACCGAATGCCATGGCTCTTTGCATATTCTGTATGTTTAAGTGCACGCCGTAAGTGATCTCCGAACTTAGTAACATTACGTAGGGTATATTCTTGAGAGTGCTTGAGCAAACGTTATACTGCTTATTGTTGTATCATACCGAATACCATCGCTCTTTCTTTGCATATTCTGTATGTTTTAGTTCTTTTCAGCGCGGTAAATTTTTGTTAGGTGTTCCTACCGTCAGCTCATGTCTGATGTGGTTTGACCTTCAGATCTCAAGTTTCGTTATAAAAGTTCAACACACAAAGCGACTGTTGCGCCCATGAATTCTTCTAAAATTTGTCAATATTGCATTTTACCTGTTTTTTTTGCACGCATGTTGCATTTTTTAAATAAAAACACGGTTGTCTTTTATGGTAAAGCATTAAAAAAGTGTGTACTGAGGAAGGGCTGAGGAACCATTTTCGTTTTACGTCAAAAAGATTAGTTTGATAAACGATCTGCGCAAAAGTTTTCTTACGATTATCATTTGATCTCTACGGTTTAAATACGCTTTTACCCAGACAGACTCTTTCCTTGTTGTTTTTTTGGCTTTTATTTGTTTTCTCTTCTCATTTCCATAGCAAAAACGACCAGATACATGACATTAAAAGTATAAAAAGTCTGAACTTGGCAGTCGCGTGACTGGCGAGCTGCTTATTTTAGTTTCGTTTCCGGTAGATGGCTCGCATCACGAATCGCGCGGCTGCAGCGCTTGGCGGCAAAAACGAAGCGGCAAAAAATTCTTCCGATTTTAGTTTCCGCAAATCACAGAGACCCTCCTAGCGCCTTAATTTTTTATTTCACTATTCTCTTATCGAGGCTGAATTACGGGAATTTTTTTTAAACAAATAAGAGCGACAAAAGAGGGCGCGGGGCGGAAAACTGAGTTCCTCTCCCGTCTCGCGCACTTGCGTGGTCATTTTCGTGTCTTGAGGGTTTCGCTTGACGCACTAAGAAAAAAGAGAGACTGCTCGTAGTCTACAGCACTTACACCGTAAGAGAGAAACGCGCATTTATTTTAAAGTCGGCTGATTCAGAAACAATTTGCAGAGATAACAAAGGAAAAACCTATCGAAGGGTGTAGTTAATCCCAGCGGAACTACTGACCGCAGAAGCCTGTGCTACACGAACCTGTGCAATCCAATGAAGTCGCTTTATTTCCAAGAAATCTAAACTAAATTAGTCAAATGCAAACTTTGTCTTTAGGGCTTTTCCCTGGGAGAGGCGAGCTGAAGAGAATCTTTTCCGCCCCACCCAATAAGGCTAAGGGGACCAAGGTC